ATCAGCGTATCCGCCTACTACAGGCCGCCGGTATCCCGGATGGAATCATCACACGCCACGCACGAGAAACCAACATCATTCTGGGCTCGCGACGACGTTCAAAGACCAGCTGGAAAGACGGCGAAGTGGACGAAAAGGATGAGGGCGAAGAGGATACGTACAGGAAGTTACTAAAAAAACGCAGTGCTGAGCAGGCCTTGCTAGAGCATCCGCGTTCCATCTTTTTGCGACGACCACGAATGATCCCGGTAAATTATGTATAGCTGCACCGACCGCCAGCCAATACAAGCCATATTTCGAAACCAATCTATTTGACGGATATGAAAGACGCCTAAGTTACTTGGTATGAGATGCATACAAAGGAACGATTTGGGCGGATGAGATAAATAAGCTGACGAAAACTAAGCGACTGGGTATGAGAGCAGAAAGCGCATACAGCACACTCTAGTTCATTTGTTGGCACGCGCACATTCGTAAGAATTATTTAAGCACTTGGATTCATCAATAGTATCGTCTTTCTTGATCATCACTGGCTTTCTCGATTGAACCGATTGTTGACATCAGATTAACGCTGCGGCTTGAACATCGACAACGCATCGGTAGATTCAGCAAATAGATCTCGTAATCACAAGCTCATACGTTAGACTTGAGTGTTAAGGGATGTGGATAACCGGACTCCTTAATGAAACTATCCATAATATTTATCTACTTAGCCGTATCTCATGCTATTTTGTATGATTGAGATGTTGTTGGACACTTTGCAGCCGCTAGAGAAACCACCACTAAAACTTGATACACGTAGCTGCTTTTACCCTGACATAAACCCCTTACCTACGTTTCTTGGCCAAAATCCGTTGCACATCGCCTGCTGCGTTCTGTCCATCGCGACAGGCAGATCAAAATCGAACGGATGCTATCGCTCACTTGTACCGCCGCTTGAGTGACGTGCGAATTGTTTCAAGGCTTTGCAAGGTCCGTCTTTCGATAAATGTGTTAAGCTAGAATATACTTGCCTTTCGCCGTCTCTCCGATACGTGCAATATGTTAAATAAGCTTATGCATTTCTTATCTCTCTATCTATATGATCACAAACATGATGGTGGTGATGAGTAAGCACTTAACACTAGATGGGAACTGTGCAGAATCATGATGAAGGCCAAGTGTATGACTTTCAACTTTTACACACACCTAACATTCAAGTCACATCAAATTACTCACATCTTTATACCTTTGCATCCGTCCACTCACAAGCACTAGCATTGCACACGTCACATGGTGTGAAACACCCGGTTCATAAATTACTAAATTTTAGCGATTGAAAATGATTTGAAAGAGTCAAGAACGTTGGGTGGCAATTGATAAATGTGCGATTTTTGTTCAGATTTTGCCGGTTTCAGCTGTAATAGAAAAAATAGTTTTTTTGTCACAAGAAATAATACTCACAGTAATAAGGAAGTAATCACAGATGTAACATTACGCCAACAGATATTCGCCTCAACGAATACTTCAGAGCGACATGTGATGGAAGTTCCACTTAAGTACGCCAGAAGTTCTTTCCGGAGCTGAAATCTCACTGGAATGTTCGATCGTAAGGCACGTTCGACGTGACTATCGACGATGGCAAGAAGGTATTTGTATTCAAACACGTAATCAACTCAGAAACTTAAACACAGTCACGTGTGACACAAAGAATTTGCAGCACCTCCTAATTAGAAAGAAGGAGGGGGATGGTTGGTTGGATGGATGGTAGGTGTGACAATCGATGAGGCTGGCGTGATGGCTCTCTTGACCGACTTGACTGATCATTGGCAACAACCATGGTAATATCCGATGCGTGATCCAAGCGAAAGATTAAGACTCTAATTGATCAGTCGCCTAATGGTGATGAAGATATCAGCCTTCCATGCTTCCAAGAACCTGTGAAGTGAAAGTAGATGTCTCGATATTACCCTCAACACAGAGGCTGGTAGTAGTGGCGGTACTCTTAGTGAGTGCATCGAACGATACTATGACATCTCCAGTATTATAATCAATCCCGACATTAAAATCCCGAGGACTGAAGCTAAAGGCACAATATGCAATTTAATGGTAAAACCGAAAATTGACTAGTTAATTAGTTGCTCTATTGACGTCCACCACACAAAATAGATTTGTATAAGGATCTTACAGCAGTTTTGAAGTTTCAAAGAAAATATTGCAATTTTTCTGTCGTCGAACGCAATACTAAACATTTCACGGCCGTAAGCTAGGTACACTGTGCCAATTTTATTCTCCTCCATAAAACACAATGGGATCTGTAATGAAGCTTGGAACTCTAGATTTGGCGCTATGCATCGGTTACTTGGTCTCCGTGTTGCTTGTCGGATTTGTCTTTACCATACGAGAGCAGCGTGCACGTGAAAAGGCACGTCTAACGCGTCTACACGATAAAGCGGTAATGGACAAAGGAATTAAAGATTCTAAAGGCTCCACATCAGCCAAGAATAACCATATTCTAGAAGAGTACTACCTTGGTGGACGACGCATACCTTGGTATGCACTGGCAGTGGCTGATGTAAGTTCATACATCGATATATCAGGAACTATGATCAATACGGCGCTCGTTTACGCATTGGGTGTGAAAGGCATGTACATTGAGATACGCGGTGGTTTGTGCCTCTTCTTGGCCTTTCAACTGGCCTACACCGGCAAATTATCCCGTAGATGCCCAGTAAAGACACGAGGAGAATGGTATGATAGCTAAAATGTATAACAGTAAACTCTAGACTAATTGTATGACATTTGGGATGCAGGATCCAATTTCGCTTTGGAACTCGCTTGGACGCTGTGCTGTTACGGACTACAATTGCGATTACGTCGCTGGCAAGTAGCATCTTGGCAACAACGTACTTTGCAGTTGGTGGAGGTTTGTGATATGTTTCGATATATTGCTACTACTTTCAGTGCCTTACTTTGCGCGTTATAGGAAAATTCTTTACGGAATTCGTTAAGCTACCAGAATGGGGAGAACTACCATCTGAATTTTGGGCTGCAGCTTTGTTGATGGCAGTAGCCATGCTATACACGATTGCAGCTGGATATGCCACTGTTGTGTACACAGAC